CAGACCTGGGACCTCTCAGCACAGGGATGGTAGAAAACCCTCATAATGGGAACAGCAGGTGTAGAGACCCAGGAATTTAGCACAGGGATGGTGGGAACTCCTCCTAATGGGCAGAAGAGCAGGTGTACAGACCCAGGAACTCAGCACAGGGATGGTGGGAACTTCTCATAATGGGCGCAGCAGGTGTGCAGACCTGGAACCTCAGCACAGGGATGGTGGGAACCCCTCATAATGGGCACAGCAGGTGTGCATACCCAGAACCTCAGCACAGGGATGGTGGGAACCCCTCATAATGGGCACAGCAGGTGTTAGGGGGTTTAAACTCTCCAGCATCCATTAGAGACTGATATAGTAATATAGTTCATTCTTCTTTTCATTCTTCTTTTCAATCTTCTTCTTCTTTTCATTCAACTTCTTCTTCTTTTCATTCTTCTTTTCATTCTTCTTCATTCTTTTCATTCTTCTTTTCATTCTTCTTCTTCTTCTTTTCATTCTTCTTCTTCTTTTCATTCTTCTTCTTCTTCTTTTCATTCTTCTTCTTCTTCTTCTTTTCATTCTTCTTTTCATTCTTCTCATTCTTCTTTTCATTCTTCTCATTCTTCTTTTCATTCTTCTCATTCTTCTTCTCATTCTTCTTTTCATTCTTCTTCTCATTCTTCTTTTCATTCTTCTTCTTCTTTTTCAACTCTTCTTTTCATTCTTCTCATTCTTCTTTTCATTCTTCTTTTCATTCTTCTTCTTCTTCTTCTTTTCACTCTTCTTCTTCTTTCATTCTTCTTTTCATTCTTCTTCTTCTTTTCATTCTTCTCATTCTTCTTTTCATTTCTTCTTCTTCTTCTTTTCTTCATTCTTCTTTTCATTCTTCTTCTTCTTCTTTTCATTCTTCTTCTTCTTCTTTTCATTCTTCTTTTCATTCTTCTTCTTCTTCTTCTTCATTTCATTCTTCTTCTTTTCATTCTTCTTTTCATTCTTCTTTTCATTCTTCTTCTTCTTCTCAAAAAAGCCTATGAAAAAGGTACCAGGGGTATCTCATTTCGGCCCCCTACTGACCTTCCCTCGGGCATTTGCCCGAGTTTCCTTTTGGTCAGTCTTCCCTGATAGGGACATAGAAGAGTGACAGAAGAAAAAAGAAACACGTGGTCCATTGAGTCTCCCCATTCTTTTTTTTCTTTTCATATTTTCTTTTTTTTTCTTTTTTGCCTAAATATAGATCTTTGCCCCAAGCATGTTTTAACCAATTGTCAACAGTGCTATAGCCGAAAGACAGCTACAGTGTGGCCATCCAGTTCTGGGAGGGCATATATAGATGTCCTCCCAGAATCCCACCCCCTTGGTGCCTCTGGGGCACACTTTGTGATCACTTTGGACACAGCTGATCACAAATCGAAGTAAAGGGCCACTCACAGCGCGACCCTTTACCATGTGATCAGCTGTATCCAATCACAGCTGTTCACATGTAAACAAATGCCCAGTATCGGCTTTTCCTTTCCTCATCCTGATCATCAGTGTTCATCAATTTTCCTGGTCATCAGTGCCCTGATTAGTGCATCCCCATCAGTGCCAATCTGTGCCCATCTTTGCAACATAATAGTAGTTATATAAGTGCAGCTTAAGAGTGCCCATCAGTGCTGCCTATCAGTGCTGCCTTATCAGTGCAGTTTCATCAGTGTAGTCTCATCAGTGCCCATCAGTGCCACCTATCAGTGCTAGCCAGTGACGCCTATGAGTGCCAGTCAGTCCCACCTATCAGTGCCACATATCAGTGCCCATCAGTGCCACCTACCAGTGCAGCCTCATCAGCGCACATCAGTGAAAAAAAAATTACTTATTTGCTAAACTTTATAACACTTTTTTTTGTTTAGCAAAAATTAAAAAACCCTGTGGTGATTAAATACCACCCAAAAACCTTGTGGTCATTAAATACCACTCTGTCTGTCTGTAAAAACACACAGGGGGAGCGCTGTGCACCTAAGCGAGCACAAAACCCTCCCCTCAGGATGATGCCTGCAGCTGCAGGCATCATCCTGGTATCTTTTTTTTCCCCTAGTAGCTAACTAGCTACTAGATAGCTTTGACAAGCAGTGAAAACGGACTTCCCCCCCGCTGTCTTCCATGGTTTTCTTGGGCTCTCCTGTCCCACCGTGGAACCTGAGAATGCAGCTGGAAATTCTTCTGCTGGCTGACCATAGAGCTGATCGGAGACTGAAATGCCTCCAGTCATCTCTATGGTCTAAGGGAATGGAAGCTACAAGCATTTCATCATTTCCGTTTCGCTGAATGCTTGGGAAAGCATCTGATTACACCGATTAGAGATGAGCGAATCGAACCAGGCGAAGTGGAATTCGTTTCGAATTTCAGGAAAAATTCGATTCGTGCCGAATCCGAATATTAGCCAACTTCGGGGTGCGCGAATCGGATTTTTTCCCGATCAGCCGGCAAAAAGTGTCCCTGCAGAGAGCTCCGCTATTTCTGACAGTTCTCTGACAGTTCCTTCACATTTACAGCGGTTGAAACATTGTATCTATTTTTTTTCCATTTAGGATACAGATGTTTTTATTCGGAAACAGATACAATGTTTCAACCGCTGTAAATGTGAAGGAACTGTCAGAGAACTGTCAGAAATAGCGGAGCTCTCTGCAGATACACTTTTTGCTGTACTGGAAAACTTCTTCTTTTCATTCTTCTTTTCATTCTTCTTCTTCTTTTCATTCTTCTTTTCATTCTTCTTTTCATTCTTCTTTTCATTCTTTCTTCTTTTCTTCTTTCTTCTTCTTCTTCTTCTTTCTTCTTTTCATTTTCTTCTTTTTTTCATTCTTCTTTTCATTCTTCTCATTCTTCTTTTCATTTCATTCTCTTCTTTTTCATTTTCTTCTTCTTCTTTTCATTCTTTCTTTTCATTCTTCTTCTTCTTCTTCTTCTTTTCATTCTTCTTCTTCTTTTTCTTCTTTTTCTTCTTCTTCTTCATTCTTCTTCTTCTTCTTCTTCTTTCATTCTTCTTCTTCTTCTTCTTCTTCTTTTCTTCTTCTTCTTCTTCTTTCTTCTTCTTCTTTTTCAATTCTTCTTTTCATTTTCTTCTTCTTCTTTTCATTCTTCTTCTTCTTCTTTTCATTCTTCTTTTCATTCTTTCTTTCTTTTCATTTTCATTCTTCTTCTTCTTCTTTTCTTCTTCTTTTCATTCTTCTTCTTCTTTTCTTTTCTTCTTCATTCTTCTTTTCATTCTTCTTTTCTTCTTCTTCTTCTTCTTCTTCTTCTTCTTCTTCTTCTTTTCATTCTTCTTCTTCTTCTTCTTCTTCTTCTTTCTTCTTTTCATTCTTCTTCTTCTTCATTCATTCTTCTTTCTTCTTCTTCTTCTTTCTTTTCTTCTTCTTCTTCTTTTCATTCTTCTTTTCATTCTTTCATTCTTTCTTCTTTTTTTCTTCTCATTCTTCTTCTTCTTCATTCTTCTTTTCATTCTTCTCATTCTTCTTTTCATTTTCTTCTTCTTTTCATTTCATTCTTCTTCTTCTTCTTTCATTCTTCTTTTCATTTTCTTCTTCTTCTTTTCATTCTTCTCATTCTTCTTTTATTCTTCTTCTTCTTCTTTTCATTCTTCTTTTCATTCTTCTTCTTCTTCTTCTTTTCATTTTCATTTCTTCTTTTCATTCTTCTTTTCATTCTTCTTCTTCTTCTTTTTCATTCTTCTTCTTCTTCTTTTTCATTCTTCTTTTTTCATTCTTCTTCTTCTTCTTCTTTTCATTCTTCTTTTCATTCTTCTCATTCTTCTTCTCATTCTTCTTTTCATTCTTCTTTTCATTCTTCTTCTTCTTTTTTCATTCTTCTTTTTCATTCTTCTCATTCTTCTTTTCATTCTTCTTCTTCTTCTTTTTCATTCTTCTTCTTCTTTTCATTCTTCTTTTCATTCTTCTTCATTCTTCTTTTCATTCTTCTCATTCTTCTTTTCATTCTTCTTCTTCTTCTTCTTCATTCTTCTTCTTCTTCTTTTTCATTCTTCTTTTCTTTTCTTCTTCTTCTTCTTCTTTTCATTCTTCTCATTCTTCTTTTCATTCTTCTTTTCATTCTTCTTCTTCTTCTTTTCATTCTTCTTCTTCTTCTTTTCATTCTTCTTTTCATTCTTCTCTTCTTCTTTTCATTCTTCTTCTTCTTTTCATTCTTCTTTTCATTCTTCTCATTCTTTTTCATCATTCTTCTCATTCTTCTTCTCATTCTTCTTTTCATTCTTCTTCTCATTCTTCTTTTCATTCTTCTTCTTCGTTTCATTCTTCTTTTTCATTCTTCTTCTTCTTCTTCTTCTTCTTCTTTTCATTCTTCTTCTTCTTTTCATTCTTCTTTTCATTCTTCTTCTTTCTTTTTTCATTCTTCTCATTCTTCTTTTCATTCTTCTTCTTCTTCTTTTCATTCTTCTTCTTTTCATTCTTCTTTTCATTCTTCTTCTTCTTATTTTCATTTTCTTCTTTTTTCATTCTTCTTTTCTTTTTTTCTTTCTTCTTCTTCTTTTCATTCTTCTTCTTCTTCTTTTCATTCTTCTTCTTCTTCTTCTTCTTCTTTCTTCTTCTTCTTCTGGCAACTCCACCACGCAGCTCATTTTTGTTCCAGTATTACTGTATTTTGCTCCTTCAAAATCCTGAAACTTTCTTTTGGCAGGTGTACAGACTCAGGTACTCAGTGCAGGAATGGTGGGAATCCCTCACAATGGACACAGCAGGTGTACATACAGACCCAGGAATTCAACACAGGGACAGTGGGAACCCCTAATAATGGGTAAAGCAGGTGGGCAGACCCGGAATCTCAGCACATGGATGGTAGGAACCCCTCATAATGGGCACAGCAGGTGTGCATACCCAGAACCTCAGCACACAGGGATGGTGGGAACCCCTAGTAATGGGCGCAGCAGGTGTGCAGACCTGGGACCTCAGCACAGGGATGGTAGAAACCCCTCATAATGGGAACAGCAGGTGTACAGACCCAGGAATTTAGCACAGGGATGGTGGGAACTCCTCCTAATGGGCAGAGCAGGTGTACAGACCCAGGAACTCAGCACAGGGATGGTGGGAACTTCTCATAATGGGCGCAGCAGGTGTGCAGACCTGGAACCTCAGCACAGGGATGGTGGGAACCCCTCATAATGGGCACAGCAGGTGTGCATACCCAGAACCTCAGCACAGGGATGGTGGGAACCCCTAGTAATGGGCGCAGCAGGTGTGCAGACCTGGGACCTCAGCACAGGGATGGTAGAAACCCCTCATAATGGGAACAGCAGGTGTAGAGACCCAGGAATTTAGCACAGGGATGGTGGGAACTCCTCCTAATGGGCAGAGCAGGTGTACAGACCCAGGAACTCAGCACAGGGATGGTGGGAACTTCTCATAATGGGCGCAGCAGGGTGTGCAGACCTGGAACCTCAGCACAGGGATGGTGGGAACCCCTCATAATGGGCACAGCAGGTGTGCATACCCAGAACCTCAGCACAGGGATGGTGGGAACCCCTCATAATGGGCACAGCAGGTGTTAGGGGGTTTTAACTCTCTCCAGCATCCATTAGAGACTGATATAGTAATATAGTTCATTCTTCTTTTTCATTCTTCTTTTCAATCTTCTTCTTCTTTTCATTCTTCTTCTTCTTTTCATTCTTCTTTTCATTCTTCTTCTTCTTTTCATTCTTCTTTTCATTCTTCTTCTTCTTCTTTTCATTCTTCTTCTTCTTTTCATTCTTCTTCTTCTTTTCATTCTTCTTCTTCTTCTTTTCATTCTTCTTTTCATTCTTCTCATTCTTCTTTTCATTCTTCTCATTCTTCTTTTCATTCTTCTCATTCTTCTTCTCATTCTTCTTTTCATTCTTCTTCTCATTCTTCTTTTCATTCTTCTTCTTCTTTTCATTCTTCTTTTCATTCTTCTCATTCTTCTTTTCATTCTTCTTTTCATTCTTCTTCTTCTTCTTTTCACTCTTCTTCTTCTTTCATTCTTCTTTTCATTCTTCTTCTTCTTTTCATTCTTCTCATTCTTCTTTTCATTCTTCTTCTTCTTCTTTTCATTCTTCTTTTCATTCTTCTTCTTCTTCTTTTCATTCTTCTTCTTCTTCTTTTCATTCTTCTTTTCATTCTTCTTCTTCTTCTTTTCATTCTTCTTCTTCTTTTCATTCTTCTTCTTCTTCTTTTCATTCTTCTTCTTCTTCTTCTTCGTCGTGCCCCGTGACTGCCCAAATGAGTGAAGTGTGCGGTGATTCTAAGATCGACGGCACTCATCTGCATGTCATACTGACTGACAGTATTATTTCTCTTCCCCAGCAGACTCCAAGGGCATTTACAGTTGCAAGAAAAAGTATGTGAACCCCTTGGGATTCCGTGGAGTTTTGCATGAATTGGACATAAAATGTGCTCTGAACGTCACCTAAGTCACAACAATAGAAGAACACAGTCTGCTGAACATAATACTACACAAAAACATTAGATGTTGCCATGGTTTAATTGCACATAACATGTAAACATTCACAGTGCAGGGAGGAAAAAGTATGTGAACCTTTGGACTTAATAACTGGTTGACCCTCCTTTGGCAGCAATAACCTCAACCAAACGTTTCCTGTAGTTGCAGATCAGACCTGCACAACGATCTGGAGTCATTTTGGACCACTCCTCTTCACAAAACTGTTTCAGTGTAGCAATATTCTTGGGATGTCTGGTGTGAAGCGCTCTCTTAAGGTCATGCCACAGCATTTCAATCGGGTTGAGGTCAGGACTCTGACTGGGCCACTCCAGAAGGCGTATTCTGTGCTGTTGCAGCCATTGTTTTGTTGAATGACTTGTATGCTTTGGGTCATTGTCCTGTTGCATCACCCATCCTCTGCGGAGCTTCAGTTGGCGGACAGATGGTCATACGTTTTCCTGCAAAATGTCTTGATAAACTCTGGAATTCATTTTCCCATCAATGACAACAATCCGTCCAGGCCCTGAGGCAGCAAAGCAGCCCCAAACCATGATGCTCCCTCCGCCATGTTTCACACAGTGGGGATGAGGTTTTGATGTTGGTGTGCTGTGCCTTTTTTTCTCCACACACATAGTGTTGTGTGTTCTTCCCAAACAACTCAATCTTGGTTTCATCTGTCCACAGTATATTTTGCCAGTAGTGCTGTGGAACATCCAGGTGCTCTTTTGCAAACTTCAAACGTGCTGCAATCTTCTTTTTGGACAGCAATGGCTTCCTCCGTGGTGTCCTCCCATGTACTCCATTCTTGTTTAATGGTTTCCTTATTGTAGATGTGTCAACAAAAATGTTAGCATGTGCCAGAGATTTCTGTAGGTCTTTAGCTGACACTCTGGGATTCTTCTTTACCTCATGCAGCATTCTGCACTGTGCTCTTGCAGTCATTTTTACAGGACGACCACGCCTAGGGAGAGTAGCAACAGTGCTAAACTTTCTCCATTTGTAGACAGTCTGTCTTACCGTGGACACATGAACATCAAGGCTCAAGGAGATACTTTTGTAACCCTTTCCAGCTTCATGCAAGTCAACAATTCTTGATGGTAGGTCTTCTGAGAGCTCTTTTCTGCGAGGCATGGTTCACATCAGACAGTGCTTCTTGAAACCAGTAAACCCAAAACAGGTGTGTGTTTTTTTAAGGGCAGGGCAGCTGTCAGCAACACATCCAATATCATCACACTGATTGGAGTCAAGGTTGGCTCACTCCTGGCTCCAATTAGCTCTGGGAGAAGTCATTAAGCTAGGGCCTCACATACTTTTTCCTCCCTGCACTGTGAATGTTTACATGTTATGTGCAATGAAACCACGGCAGCATCTAATGTTTGTGTAGTATTATGTTCAGCAGACCGTGTTCTTCTATTGTTGTGACTTAGATGACGTTCAGAGCACATTTTATGCCCAATTCATGCAAAACTCCACGTAATCCCAAGGGGTTCACATACTTTTTCTTGCAACTGTAAATTAAAGGTACAGTGTTCTGCACTAATATAAAGGCTCTCTGAAGCCTAGAAACCCTTTTAATTAGTTAAATTCGCAGCAAATAAATTCGCATCGAATCGAATTTCTCCCGCAAATTCGGCGAATCAGCCGAATCGAATTTTTGAATATTTCGCTCATCTCTAACACCGATCTTGGGAGGTGACATGGAGGAGGACTGTTAGCAAACAAAACAGTTCTCCTCCCCGTCAGAAATCCTCTGTAATCACCAGGCACCAGCGAGTAATCACTGGCCGGGACCCAGTGATTGACAGCCGCGGCCACGAATGTACGTGATTTTGCATTTCCAGGTAGGGGGCGCACGCGCTCCCTACCCGGAAATGCAAAATCACGTATATATACACATGTGATTTTGCACACCCGTTTCGCCCAGTAGCAGTATTTCTGCTATAGGGCAGTCGGGAAGCGGATGACAAAACCACTCCCATACAGATTCACTCTGCAAATGAACACAGACAAATAAAACATGTTTCTTCAGAACAACAAAAAAAGTAGGAATCTGCAACAAAGTTTGTTAATATCTTTGCAATGTACATACAGTAGATCTCCCACAGGGAAATATTTTTTTCTCAACAAAAGTGGAGTTATTTGATTTCAGTCGTGTCTCCATTTTCTCTTCTTTCCTCCAGACTAACCTTAATGGCAGAATCACTAGGTATTATTTGTATTTATTTATTACAAATATTTATATACTGTAACTCTGACAATTTACACTATGTTTTACATACTGTACATTTACAGCAATGAAAGAATGCTATAGATTTAAAGGGTTACTCCACTTTCATGAAAAAATAGCAAATAAAAAAGATATATAGCACAAACAATCTATACGCAAGCCATATTCTAATTTAACCCTTTCACTGCCAGAGCTATTTTTGCTTTTTTTGCTTTTTGCACACGTTTAAAAATATCAATTTTAGGCCTGAAGATTATACAAAACCCCCAAACATTATATATTTTCTGAAAGCACATACCCTAGAGAATAAAGTAGTGGTAGTTCCATATTTTTATGTAAGACGATATTATTGCAAAGGTCTAGGAAACTCAAGAATTCAGTAAAAATCACACGAAAGTGACTTTTAGGGCAAACAATCGCAATATATTACCCACATTTTTGGTAAAATACAAAAGATGAGGTTGTGCTGAGTAAATAAATACCCAACATGCCAAACCTTAAATTTGTGTATGCCTGTGAAATGGCGACAAACTTCAGTATCCTATATTTTCTATAGGTAACATTTCAAAAGCCTCTACAGGGTAGCATTGTCATGTTGCCATTGTCATATGCCTTTAAGTGTTCTCTATAATTTGTCTCTGCTCCTCCCTTTCCTCTGGTTTAGTTATTGCTGTATAGATAGCCCACCCTTTCCCCCAGAAATGCATTGTGGCTTCCAGCCTCATGTCATGAAGCAGGTCACATTATGATCTTTTGACCTATCAGATGTTCATTGTTGTAAGATTCTCTCAGTTTATGGAATAAACTTCACAAGATCTACAAGATATCGTCTTGATTGAGTCACTGACTGTGGTATTCAACTGAGATTGGAGTTATCGTTATCTCATCACAACTATAAGTTACAGAGATCACACTTTCAATGCTTAGATTGGAGAGACAGAACAAGCATTAAGGATAAGGTCTGGAGGACTGAGGAGGATCTGTATTCATTTGAAAAACTGGTAAACGTAGCTACAGTTGCTAGACGAATTACCTCTAAGATATATAAGATTCTTATGGACATGGAGTGTATTGATCCTCCTCAGTTCTTGGGAAAATGGGAACAGGAGCTTGGAACAGAACTGAATGAACAGCAAATGAATAAAATATTCAAATTAACACATGGCGTGATGAATATGAGCACAGTTGAGATGGATTAAAAATGCTTGGCGAGATGGTATATCACACCGAGTAAGGCACATAAACAACAAGTAGATGTTTCACCATTGTGTTGGAGAGGTTGTGGGGAAAAGGGAATTATGGGACAAATATGGTGGCACTGCCCGAATATACAGGACTATTGGAAGGGAATAATATAACTCATTCAGGAAATATATGGGACTACGGTTCAGGGAGATCCATGGATGTGTTTGTTTTATAAACCAGACCTTCAATAAACTTGTGCAGTAATAGGGAACTGTATCATTTAGTCAATGCGGCTAAGGGCTTGATCCCCAAATTTTGGCAAGTTTCAGAGCCACCAAGAGTAAAAGACTGGATAAATAATGCGGAAAATATCCATAGGTTGGAGGAGTTACATCATACTGAGGTGGATAAATTAGATAAACTTAGGAAAACATGGAGTAGTTGGTTAAATTTTAAAACATCTAAAAAAATATCTGGAATTAATTGCAGTCTAGGTGGAATATATTAGAGGAGGTCTAACTGATTTCCCAAGAGAAAGAAAGGATGTAAGATGGTATAGAAATGGATAGAGAACCATAAGGGAGGAAAATGGAAGTACG